AGTGGGAGAACTTGCACAATTGGTGGCTGACTAAATACTTTTTTGCCCCACTGTAAATTTATGTTTTTTCAGTTTTCATATACAGAATAATAATATTCAATTTAGTATTCCATTTATATTTACTAATTTGAATTGTTTTTTAATTAGTTACATAGTACTTAATATATTTTAAGATCCTTTTTTTAACTGTATTGAAGTATTTTAGAAGATGGTTTTATATTTTACAATCAATAAACATAATTTATTTTAAGGTTTCCTAACCGCAATGCAAAGTTGCAGAAAGCACTGCGCTAATTCACTAATACAAGGATTTGTAAAGTAATTAAGCTGCTTATATATTATTATATAACTATCATTGCATTATTTTACTTTATTAGTTTTAATTAAACTTTTTTTTAAAGTTTAGGCTAATCAACAATCCTCCTTTTTATTGCTTATACTTTAAATGTAGTATTGTTATCCTGTACAGTAACTCTGCAGCTATTGGTTCTATCATAATTGTCTTCCAGCATTTGGAATCAGCTTTAACAGAAGCAAGGGGACAAATGGAAGTTCTGCACAATAGATGTGATAACCTGGCATCTCAGCTTGGTGTTAAGCAGACTGAATTAACACAAAGGGATTTGGATGTGGCCAGAGCTAGGTATGTATGATATGATAAATAATATAGGGTAATGTTAAATTGTTTGGATCTGCAGTACTTTATCCAAATGCTTTATGCACGGTGGAGAAAATTTAGGTGGTTACTATTGATGCAAACCTGATCCTCTTTGGCTTCTGTTACGGACAGTATGAAAAAAAATCTGCCCATTTTTAATTGGGTCAGAGAGGGTTAATAGTCTTTACTGGAAGGCACAAGGACATCAATATGATTACTAACATTAATAACAACAGCACTTAATTTGAGAAGGTATATAACAATAGCTTAAAGCCTAACCTTTAGCTCTCTGATTAGAATTAAGTCTGACAGGCCTACAGTTTAAATGCGTAAACTTTAAAAGTTTAAATTTTACTTTTATATGAGTCTTTTCATGTCTTACGATAAGTCACAAGGATTAATATTATGTGTATGAAATGTATGAAAAATGCAAGGCAAAGCTGCAATAAGAAAGTTTGTAAAATAGCCAGGACAAACCTGTGATGAAACTAATGCAGCTGTTATATGGACATTAGTAGCTGACATTGTAAACTAACTCATCAAAAATGTCAAAACATAATACTAGCAAGAAGAAGAAAAGAAATAACATAGCAGTGATGACATCCACTCACAGTCCTTAGCAATTCTGTCATCAGCTACCACTTAGAACATCACAGCTTTTGATCTTCTGAATAACCAGTATAGATAGTGCGGACACAGTGATGATGCAGTTTTACTCCTCATCCCTTTCCACATACTGTATTGTCAAATTCCTGGTAGAACTTAATGACTCCTCCTACACAATTTTTGCCAGACTTCCAAGGTTTCCTCTAAGATTATTTGTGCCAATAGTGCTATACAAGGGGATTATTCTGTTCATTCAGCTCACTGAGCCCTCAGTCTTTCCTTGAAGGGAACAAAACATTTTCAAACATCAGAATTTTATAATGTGGGATATTTCCCTCCCACTTGCTCCAGAGGCAGGATTATATGAATCTGATGTTGACCTCCTGTGAAATGGAATGGTTCTATTCCCAGTTCTTGGACAGGCTTTCAAGACTGATGCCATTCCTTTGAGGTAGGTGATGTCAAGAAGCAGGCATGACAGGGATTTCAGGAATGCAGTTTACTGTAATGATATAGAAGAACAGTATCATTAAAGCCTGCCTAGATTTCTCTCTCTTCCATCTTCCATTAAAAACAATCAAGGCAGGGTTATTTTGAGTTTCTTTCTCACATTTCCTTCTTTCTCAAGACAGTATAATTTTTTCTGCAAGCACCCTCTTAAGAATTCATTTTTTTCTTCTCCCCTAATGGCTTATTTATTCCTTCCCCAAGGTCACTTCTACATTCCTTTACATAGATACGTATTCCTGGATAATTGCAACCCCAGTAGCTTGATACATGTTTTTGGGCCATTGCAAATGAACAGGGCCATCACAGCCACTACAGTCATGTGAAAAGCAGAAAATCCATAGTTGACATCCTACTCCCATTTCCCCAGTGGCCATGAACCTCCAGAAAAGGTCCATTCATCAATTCATCACAATCAGCCACTCTCCCTCCCACAATTGTTGCAACTGTCCCCCCTATCCCGCCCCCCCCAGTGATGAGCTGACAGGCCCAGCATCCCAATGCAGAACCAAGAATATCTTTATCCCCCAGCCTGTCTCAGGGAGGACCAGCAGAGGGAGGAGACTCCAGCTTCTGAAAGTTTCCTAATAGCCTTTTAACAGACCACCTGGGCCACAAAGCCTTACTGACCTTGATATCAAAACCCTGAAAGATAGCTACCACATCTCAGAGATGACAATAGGTAGAATAGTATGCTTTATATTAACAAGCAAAGAAGCGTATCCATTTTTATGGTTAGAACTTAACTTTTATTTGGGAATTTGTGACCAAAGATATCCGTATGTATTTACTGTGACTGTGCATTTAGCAAATTTGAAAGATTTGCTTGTCACTAAATCATGTTCTAAGTGGTAGCTCTTCCTGACCACCAAAGCAAAATACAGTGAAGAATAGCCATAGCATGTATCTTCCTTTTTACAGTATAAACTGACCCTTTCCAACCTGATGTCCTCCCAGTGTCTTAGCATTACAACTCCTAAAAGCTGTATATGGCACTAAGGAAGATCATTTAAAAAGTACAGTGGTTAGAATGATATGTAGCTTTCAAGAATCTGTATATTGATATAGAATTCTCCACTTTGTGGTATTAAGATGTGTCAGTAAAGCCATTAAATGGTTCATGTTGTTCAATATACTAGAAAGAAATGAAAAGAGATCTTAGTTTTATATTTATAAGATACCAACATACATAAAACAAAACATCTCCTCCTTCCGCTAAAATTTTTAGTTCAACTTTTAAAAGCTGCATTTCAACCTTTAACCATCCCATCTCCTAATCATTAGAGGACTTAAAGTAAAAAAGTGGTCACTCTACCAGCAACTTTAATATAGATTTTTCTCTGCCGACATTATCTCTTGGTGATAATATTTACCTTTATTATTTGGCCAGAAAAATAAGGGAATAATGACAGTCTTCTTTATAATTTCCCTATTGGGCTTCCTTTTTTAAAGATGAGATGAATATATCATTTTCTGCTTTATAATTAATTCATTGGCTGTCTACTGTTTTATTCTACTTACAAAATACAAATGCTTAAGCAAACAAGATGAAATACCTGGTGTCTTACTAGCAAATCTGTCACCATTGTATGCATCTTTTACTCCGCTTTGTCATTTAGACTTTTAATTATGGGCATTAACCATAATTGATCAAAATATGGAGAGAAATATATACATACAAAATTTGAAATTGTGAGCTTGTAGTATCTTTGTTTTTTGCCTTTGAGGAGCTCCATTAAAACCATGAAGTTTTGAAAGATATCCTGTGATCAGCTGCAGTATCTTGCTGCTTGGCTGCTCTAACTCTTACAGTGTAATGATTGTACTTTTGGTAAAAGTTCATTCTGCAAGAAAAGGCTCTGACTTCAGCAGTGGTGGGAATGAATAAAACAGCTGCCTAATATAAAGCTCCTGCTACAAATGCATACACACACCCCCATTCCACATTTCTTAATAGCAGATTACAGAAATGGAGTATAAAGTTAGTTCTTCCAGTCCAGCTTTCTATTCTCTTACCGCTACCTGCTTTATGGAACAGGAATTTCAGTTTACATTGTGCTGTTATCTGAGATGTTGGCCTTGGCAAGAATGAGTTAGAACAGGTTTGTATTTTGTTTGTTTTGAATTTTTAGATTGCTTTGGCTTTAGATTGCTTTGGCACAGTGGAGATAGGGTATCTTTTCACACAGAACTGGTTTCCTCGGATGTTATGTACAGTTCCTCAAGATACCCACCATAGGATGCTTCCTAGTATTCCTGCTCATCTTCCCCCCTTTTCAGGACAGAAAAATTACTCCCCGCCCCAAAATGCCTACACCTGTCTGTCATTATTCTTTCCGATCCAGTGGAATGTTGGCAAGAAATTATAAAAGGGGCTTGAAAATCTGTCCATGAGCAGGACAATTCTCAGAAAACTGAACAGAATAGGATCATAGAATGGGGAGAAGCTTGCAAAAGGAAGATCAGGTTTGAAAATGGTCCAGGTTAGGTTGATTATATTTAAAAAAAAAAAAAAAACCTCTCAAAAAAGTCCCCAAATTCATTATTATGAGAGAGGCAGTTTGCTTGACTCAGAATGTGGCTGACTCTTCCATTTTAAGCTCCCCACCCCCGGTTTCCCTCCTGGTCACATGACCAGAATAAAATGTATTCGTTTAATTTTTAGATCACTCATTATTGAAGTCACTAGGTAGTATACAAAATGCCAAAAATCTTAAAGTTAAATGTAAAATTATAGAAGCTGCCTTTAAAAAAATGTTAAATTTAACAATCAAACATCATAGGCCAACTGAGAGATGTGTTTTTAAAAGCCTTCTTAAAGGCTATTGTGGATGGTAGTTCCAAATCTCATTTCTTTACTTTCTTGACTTTGAGGCAGCTGCATACCAGCTACAAAAGGAGGTGCTTCTGGGCTTGGATGTGGATGCGTTGGGATGAGTCATTATAATGGATTGTATTAGAGAGAGGAAAGGAGTGTTACAGGGAAGAGCTGAGCAAAGCAAAAGATCCAAGACAAAGCCAGCTTGGGGAGCAGAGCCAGTGTGCTGCAGGTGACTGGAGGCATGGAAGAAGCAAGAATTCTTTCAGAAGTGCAGACAACTGCAAACTGAGAAGAAAGGCAGAGCCCAGCAGCCACATGAACTTTTATATCACCCCAACATCAAGCCAATACTAGTCAACATTTCCCCTCACAGTCAGAAACTAAGAGATGCCAAAGCCCCTGCAGAAGATCAGGCCAGAGGCAATAGATACCTGACTGTAAAGTCAAGAAAATGCCAGCCAGCAACCGAGGCAGCCAAATCTGGGGATTCTGATTCTAGTATGGCTAGAATCAGGCTGAGGAGAAAAAGAACCTTAGTTTCTCCCCATTTGACAGCTGGGAAAGCAGCTAAGGATGGGGCTGGCTAAGCCATGATAACTAACATAAGTGTGGGCAATTTAAGTTAGCATGTAAAAGAAAAAAGGAGAAAGGAAGTAACATAGGAATTATATATAGGGGCATAATAAAGCCATGGTAAGAGCCTGCTTAGCGCATCAGGCTAAAAACCAGGAGACTATGAGTTCTAGTGCCGCATAGGCCCAAAGCCATCTGGGTGACCTTTGGCCAGTCATTTTCTCTCAGCCCTAGGAAGGAGGCAATGGCAAACCACTTCTGAAAAACCTTGCCAAGAAAACTGCAAGGACTTGCCTAGGCAGTCTCCGAGAATCAGACATGAATGAACAGATTAAAAAAAAAAACGCTATAAGAATACCTGTATAATAAGACAAATAATAAACTCAAAGAAACCTATAAGATACACAAGAAACAGAGTATCCATAGAATAAGATAAATAGGAAATACAGTTTAAAATAGAGATATAGAGAGAGATAAAATATAAAAATACATGGATATCCTCAATTTTGTTTGAAAGAAATCATTTTTGTACAATAAACCTTCCCTTTCAACCCTGTCTGTGGTCTATTCAATTTCCCCAAAGAACCATCACAGAGCTCTATAAATTATTTTTGAACTTAGTGAACAGAAGTTACTTCCACTAATCTGCAAAAATATAGTAAAAGTATCTCTGAATATAAGTGTCTTTCCATTTCCTGACAGCAAGTGCTAATACTGCATATGTCATTGTTCCTATAAATCGGAATCTTGTCCTTTGCTCTAAGAGTTAAACATTTTTTCCAGTTGTCTGGCAAACCCCAGGACAACTCACATGCATCTGTTTGAAAAACATAAAAAAGATTAAGAGAGATCATCATTGTCCCAAACAAATCCACCTCAGATTTTTCTTTATTCATAACCTAAACTTTTCTTTTGTTTCTTAGTTTAGGACAGAAGTCAATCTTTTTGATGGTTTTATTCAGAATTATGAGAAAAGAAGGCCAATTTAAAATAAATATAGTAAATATTAAAAGAAGCAAAAGGGAGATTGGAAATTGCTATCTGCTTTCAGCTATCTAATCAATAAAGCATCTGACTAACTGTAGCTGGAATAAAGATAATTAGTTTGTTGACTGGAAGGCATTTAACAGAAATATATTGTCAAGAGCCTTGGACTAGCTGCTACATCTGTATTCTAAAAGTATATTGTTATTAGAAAGAAGCAAAAATAAATGTTTTGGAGGAACAATGGAGACAGTAGAAATAACAAAAACTGAAATAAATATAGCATGACATCCATCTCCCCCCCTACCCCAGCCAATGAGTTAGAGTTAGGAAAGTTATACCATCTTCAGTTATACCATCTACATCTGTAGCCTTACCATTTTTCAACATTTTCATAACAGTTCCACAGCATTCTTTTAACTCTCTTTTCATGATCTTTTCCTACATTAACACTTGATTGTCTTTGTTTCACTTCCATCTCTTTCGCATATAACTGTTATGCCCATACAAATCTCTAAAATACTCAGTTTCATCTGAAATAATTCCATTGCTTTTATTTTTAATTCTATTCACTTTGCTAAATGCTCCTTGTTTAGCCACTACCAAAACATTTTTAAAAATTTCTATCAGAATTGTTCTGCCTTTCTTTGCTTCTTTTAAATTAAATAATTCCTTTTTCTCTTTAACTGCATTTTTGCAACTATTGTTTTCTCTGTATACATGCTATACAGTATCTCTCATCATTTTTTGCTTCAATCATTCTGATAGCCAATGTGAGCTAGGATCTGGGAAACCCAGGCTATTCTTAGTTATGGAATTTCACTGGGTGATGTTGGAGCAATCAGGCTAGTTGTGGGGAAAATGGAAGGAGGAAGTGCTATATTTGCTGCCTTGAATTATTGTAGGAAAGGTACAGTATAAATCAAACAAATAAATACATAAATATATTTTTCCTCATTCACTCAATCTTTTACTTTGTCCATCCTTTTCAAACTTTTATACTTCCTTTCAACATAATTCCAAACACTTCTGTAATATTCTGTAATATAATTCTTTTCTCTCTGTTACCAGCAATTTTCACTTTTTTATTAATCTGTCTTCTAATACTTTTGATTCAAGATTGTACTTTCTGTTCTTGCAATCATTCTGATGTTATCAAAATTGGTCTGGTTCACTTTCAGAAGCATGTGTATGTATAAATAGGCCTGTGGTTATACTCTGTATTTGAAACAGATTTTTTTCTAAGTTGATCATCAGTCAGCAAGTCATCACTTCACCATTCTTATTTATGCTTGTGTCTCTTAATAGTCTTGTGCCTTTTCTACACTCTCATCTCATTCCCACCCATCCATGTTATCTATTAAAATAATCCCACTTCCACCCCAGATTACATTCATTCAGAATGCTGTGGAATCTTCCTGAAACTTGTCCCTGGTTCTTCCATTATTGCCATTAACTGGAGAATAACATTTAGTCATTACTGTATGAGTTCTGAATACCATATATTCCCACAACAATCTAGATACCAATTCATAATGCCTGACATATATTTTAGCACTTTCATTCATAATCAAACCTGTACCTTACCTCCCTGCATGTATTTATTAACCACTCAACAAGATCAGACCACCTTCCTTCCTTTTTTAGTTTCACATTCACATATATACAACATAGCTATTTTTTTTTCCATTTCATTCATTAATTCAAGCTCCCTACCATATCTATCAGGAAATAAAAATAATATTGGTAAATGGAAGTCTGATTTGTCATTTGGGTTTTTGATTTAAGTACTGAAAGTAAAATGATATTCACATAAAGCTTTTTCTTCAGTTACATTATCGTTGAAATTATGATATATGGATTTGATGATTAGTTAAAATAATAGGTTATACAAAATGTGTATGTTAAGAGGTAGTTTTAGAGTAAGAGGTTACTACATGATTTATCTATATCTGCTGTATAAGAAGTCATTCTTTTTGTAATTTTTCCTTTCTTCCCTTTTCTTTACTTTCCATCACTTTTGTATTTTTTCTTTATCTCCAACTCTCTTGTTCTCTACTTTTCTCTTTGATTATTAGTTCTTGTTTGCTTTTATCCTTATGCTTTTTATAACTTAATGAAGTTCTTATAAACAAAATTATTATAGTAGTAATAGTTTTATTTATAATGTTCAGTATAGAAGTAGAATAAAACAAACCATTTAAACAATAATATATTACAATTAATTATAACATTGTAACATTAACTTTTAAACAAAACATCCAAGACATATAATAATAACCTGACTATATTTAAAATGACATATATTTATTTTAATGCATCTTCACAGGGGCCCATGAAAAAGAAGCATTTTAGTATGTTTATAAACTAATTGATGCAATTATGATTAAGATTGTTGGTATCGTTTAGAAAACTAAGAGAATAATAGATGGCAATGAAACTTTTATATATAAAATAGTTAACAAGACTATTTATTTGAGATGACCGTGGTATTTCTTTTGCTCAACTTTGTTTCCTGCTTGCTTTGCACAGGAAAGAATTGCAGGAGCTGCAGAATCTCTACAAACAAAACACTGAACATGCAGCACAGCAGGCAGAGCTGATCCAGCAGCTTCAGGCTCTCAATACAGATACACAAAAAGTACTGAGAACTCAAGAAGATGCTCACACAGCTGAAACAATATCATACCAAAAAGTATGCCACTTCCCTCTTTATGAAAAATATATTTTCTTCCACATCAATATTATCTGTTTAAGGATCTAAATTTTTACTATAAATGCAAATGCACTGACAGCCATGAGCAAGCAGTAATGGTGTATAGGTCAGCAATTCTTTGGCAGGACCTCTATTACTTTCTTGTCCATGGAATCATTGTAACAATACTATTCCAGGTGCTTCTGGGTTTTTTGCAGCTGGAGAAGCAGCCTATTTAGAGCAATGTTACTTTTTTCAGGTATGAAAGATAGCATGGTGCCATTGTACCATACAAGTTTAGTTTGTCTTTCTCTATGACATACCTGGTATTTCTTCAACTAAGATTTGGGAGAATTCAGTATGAGTATTATGACCATTATGGTTTTACCCTGAACAGTGTTCTTCACAATAATGAGATTTCAACCATTTTTCTGACTCCCTACTACAAAACTAAAGTGACTCATTTTAACTTACTATACCATTCCACTCTGTTATATAACACTGTTTGAGAGGGGTCTGTTTAATGTACTTGTGCTTTAATTTGAAGAAATCTAGCAAGTGTCATTTCAAAATTGAAAGAATGGAAATTGTGTGTTGCATAAATGGGAAACTATGTTCAATGGGTTAGCTACCATGTAAATATATACATGATTGTAGCCTTAATGTATTTTCTGAAATAGTTTGGAGCCCTGAAATACAATTTGAAGGAACAAATAAAATAATGCAGTAAGAAAACTAAGCAGCTTTGAAAGAAAAAATGGCCTGCTAAAGAAAGTTGTATGTTTTGACTAGGCATTTGGTCTCAACAATTCTGTGGTAAATTACACAGAAGTAAATAAGACTGCACATATGCACATTATTATATTGCCTGAATGTTTTCCCTCTGATAACAATGTGTTATTTTGTTCTAGAATTCTAATCGGGTGGGCTTGGAAACAGACAGATTTATTTCTAGTCCATCGAGATAGCTTTCTTTTATGAAATTTTTGATCATACTGATGAATAAATATCTAGACAGCCAGGACCTCAGTGAAAGGAAGTCCTGCCTTTTAAAACAAAACTTCTAAACTGTGAATTTCTGAGTTCTCTGATAAGATAGTCTAGAGACTGAGAAACTCTCCTTGTCTTATTATCCTTAGTATTGATTTAAGACTTACCACCTTGAGTCTTAGGTGAGGACAAATCTATTGAGTCTCATTAAAATGAACACACTACAGGAGCACTTTGTCTGCTTGGAACCAGTAAAATAGTTGGTATATATTTTTAGAAAATATTTATTTTTCTGGTAGAAGTACTGTAAATGCAGTATAAAATAGATGTCAAGGAGTTTCTTTTAATGTATAATATTTGTTTTGAATAAGGGAGACGTTGTGTTGTATGGACTCCAACTAGATGTTAGTGTTGAACTAACATCTGTGTAAACTATTTTGGGGATTATTGATGTGATTTCCAAACGTACTTGAGATTTCCAACAACATATCTATTGGAACTGTATATAGATGAGATTTACAAACATCACAAAATATTGTATCTCATGATTAATTTATTCTTGGGCTGTCCAATATTAGAGGCTAGGTCACTCTTCTGATACATGATACTGCCCCCCCCGATGTGTTGCACCCAACTCCCAGAATTCCCAACCAGCAGCTGACCTAGGTGAAAAACTATTATTCATAGTCAGCATTTATATTACACATTTAAATACAGAATGTCTTAAAACAATAGCAAAAGTATTGTACATTATTTTGGACTGATTGTTTCCATATTAAAAATATTCAACATACATATATATTCATCACTTTATTTCCATTTAGTGTAAGTGACATTCAGAATGCAGAAAAGGACTAAGAAATAGTAAGCTGAAGAAATATGAATAGAGAAGAGGAGGAGGAGGAGGAGATGATGATGATGATGATGATGATGATGATGATGATGATGATGATGATGATGATGATGGAAAAAATAGTAACACAGCTGTAATTACTTTACACCAAATATACTACACTAGTTATAAATTTCTATATCTTTCTCTTTTTGCAAACCAAACTTGCTTTCACCACTGCATAAACTGCCTTTATTCTTTAAACTTCTCATCATTCTTTTTTTCCAGATCTCATCAACGTCATCTAACCAGTTTTCTCAGTCTTATCTTTTCTTTAAACATATTCATGCTTTTTATATATATTTGTTTTGTAATTCTGTCCTAATTCATTTTCTGTATATGACCAAGCCATCTCAGTGTATTTGTTTTCCACTTCTTGTTCATTATTGTATTCAATCTTTATTGATTCATCATCCATTCATTCTTGATCCTGTCTCTACTTGTTCTACCACATGCACTTCTGAAGTCCCTGATTCCCATTGTTTTTAATCTATATGTTTTTTCTGAAACTTTCCACTCTCACTTCCATATAGTAGTGGGCAAAAAATATAGACTTATACAGCTACTTTTGCCTTTTTCAACAAACTTTCATTTCTCACAACAGGCCACCTACTACTTACTGACTTTCTACAAAGGTTTACATGTCTTAAAATTTCTCTATCCATTTTCCTATCTTCCAACTGCAATTCTTTTCATGCTTCACATTGGCCTAGCTGTACACAGTTCTTTTCACTTTGTTTCAGGCAAGTTCCCCATCTTTCCTTACATCCATTTTCCATTCATTCTGTTGAGAAAGTATTCTGTTTTCTAATTCTGCAAACCTATCCCATTGAACTGTGTCCCACTGAATTATGTCTAAGAATGGAACTATGTAGTTTTGTCAGCAAAATTACATATTTATTTAAGCTATGGCTTCTCTCTTTCTGTATATCTTTTAAAATATTGTACCAGTTCCCCCCAACAAACCTAAATGTTATTCCAAAATAGGCTACCTCTTAAACAGTATGCTCATGCATTTAGTTTAGTATACTGTATGTCTGCACATGTGACCTAAAGGGCTGAGTAACAGATCTTGCTGTCAGGGTCAATATATCATAGTGCAGTGGTACCTCGGTTCACGAACTTAATTCGTTCCATGATTCTGGTTGCGAACCAAATTGGTCGCGAACTGAATCAAATTTCCCCATAAGGTTCAATGTAAATAAGGTTAATCCGTTCTGACCCCTACGAATGTGGTCTCCAACCGATTTTGA